TTTCTTTCTTTCTTTCTTTCTTTCTTTCTTTCTTTCTTTCTTTCTTTTTTTCCTTCTTTCTTTCTTTCTTTTTTTCTTTCTTCCTTCCTTCCTTCCTTCTCTCCCCTCCCCTCTTCTCCCCTCCCTCCTCCTCCTCCTTCTATTCCTCCGCCTCTTCCTCCTCTTTCTCCGCCTCCTCCTCTTCCTTCTTCTTTTTTAAATGCTTACCAGCTGGAGCTCTATAGTTCTGGATACTATGGTGGGTGGTACCCGGGGTCAGGCTCTGGGAGCCTACAGCTTCCCCAGACCCTATATTAGGTTATTCTTTAATATTCACCCCTCCTTTGTCATGATGGCTGTCTAAATATGGAGATGCATTTAACAGTGCTGTCATTCTTTCTTAGCAGTTAATGAGCCTTTCAGAATCAGCATGCACAGTACAGCTGGTTAAAGGAATGTCAGGTGGAGAAAGGTCATGTCAGGTGGGCCATCCATGGCCATATGGGTCATTGCAGTAGAGTGGGACCACTCCGGGTGATGAATAGATTGGAATTTTTTATTACACCCTGTAACATGAGGGTCGGCTTGTTGAGGTATCTGTCCCCACCTGGTACCCCACAGACATCATTTCCCAGAGAAAATCAATCACACAGAGATCTCTATAAGTTATAAAGCTGATTGGCCCATTAGGTCAGGCTACTTATTAGCTCTTATAACTTATGTTACCCCATTATCCTTATCTATGTTAGCCACACGGCTCAGTACCTTTTTCAGCTGGGCAGGTTACATGCTGCTTTATCAGTGATCTGGGCAGTAATGGAGAGGAAGCTTCCTGCTTCCCAGAATTCTCCTGTTCTCATTGCATCACCTCTACTTCCTGTCTGGTTTTCCCTCCTATACTTCCTGCCTGGCCAATCAGCGTTTTATTAAAATACATGATTGACAGAACACAGACAATTCTCCCGCAACACCCTGCCACTACATGTATGTGTGTGTGTGTTATGTATATGCATGTATTCACGTGTGCTCTTGCATTCTTGTGTGTGAGTGCTGGGCCATGTGTGTATCACAGCATTCATGTGGAGGCTGGAGGACAACCTGGGATGGCTGCCTTCACCTTCTACTTTGTTTGAGACAGAATCTCCTGGCTCTTTTACAGTTAGTTGCATGTTGTAAGGCATCTGACCCATGTGCATCCTGGGCTTCTCCTGCCTCCCCCTTGCATCCATGAACACTGGGATTGTAGATGCTTTACCCAGTGAGCCATCTCCCCAACCTGTAAGGAATTTCCGATAGGGGTCAAGCATCTCATAACTGGGATAAGATGAAGAAACAAAGGTCTGG